TGATGTCTTTCGAGCTCGTGTCTTTCGAGATTTTGACTTTCGAGCTAGTGTCTTTCGAGCTCATGGCTTTCGAGCTGATGTCTTTCGAGCTCGTGTCTTTCGAGATTTTGACTTTCGAGCTAGTGTCTTTCGAGCTCATGTCTTTCGAGCTCATGTCTACGTCCCAATTGACTATGATGATTACGGCTAAAATATAGCAATTGCAATTTAAAATATAAATTAAAACATTATGACAAGCAAAAAGTGAAGGGTCAAAATGAAGGGCCAAAATGAAGGGCCAATTTGAAGGGCGAAGGGCATTATAGCGCATTCTATAATTTTAAACAACTTTTTATTGTATAATATTCACGTTTTATTTAAATTAGTTGCAGTTCTTAATTATTTATTGAATACAAATAAATGTTACATTCAAAGTAACAATTTTGTAAATTTTATCTAATAGGGATTAAGGATACTCGCTCGAAATACACTTGTTCGCAGAGAATTGCTAGAATTTTTTTAATTGCTACTTTTAACATTATTATTAATTTATAATAATATTATTGCATTAATAATATCCTGGATAATAATTATTAATAATATAAAATTTATTATTAAATTCCAGTATTTACTGTAGTATAAATATGATATATGGCTATAAAAATTGTATTGATCAATGATAAACATTTAACTTGACAATTAATTTGAATTTTTAATTTATCTACTTCTAATTTAACAAAATAATTTAAAGCAAAATAAAAATTCATTATTTTAATTTAATTTATGTTAATTATATTATAGAATCATGTACTTTAATTGTTAATAAGATAGTTTGCTTATTTAAGAGATATTCTCATTATGTGTAGTAATCATTAATTATATTTAAAATAACAATAATTTTAATTACTTAATTTTAAAACTATTAAACCAATAAGATAAATTTATTTTCTATGTCCCCAGGGAGCCAAAATGGTAAACAACGGCCAACTAATAAACTCTGGTGATTTCATGTATGTCATAATCAAAGGTAAACTCTCAAAACGGGTCATGAATTCACCTTAATTCTGGTACTCATTGACAGCACCGGTACTGAACAGTCGTAACCAATCCAACACTTCATACGCCCAGAAGTCTACATAATTAATACAATTACCGGTAAACCACTGCCGAGCGCCCAAAAATCGGGACAACCGACCCAACACTTGGGGCAGTGTTTCGGACAAATATTGCACTTTTAACGTCTCGTAGTCTTTATTAAACAACAGGCCGTACGTGAATGACATCCATATGTCGGTCAACTGTTGCTCCAACAGGTCCTGGCGTACGAGTCCGGTCTCGTCGGTGGCTGTCAGACCGTGTTTGCGGCCCAAGTAGCGCATGATTGCCGTGCTCTGGGTCAGTTTTAATGTGCCCTCCATATAGTAGGGTATGCCGGGAAAGTCTAGGCCCAGGGTCGTTTTTTCGGCAAACCATACGCCGGTAAATTCGTCAAAATCTTTGGCCCCAGACTTACCGTAGAATTTGTCGATGAATTTTACGCCCTTATAGGTCAGCAATAGCCTTATGGGTTGAGCCAAACCACGGATCCTATAATAGCCTATTGTGGGCACTGATGTGTCGGACATTATACAGATTTTGAATATTTGTATAAAATCGCAAAAGTAATGAAATTTATAATAATTCTTGTTTATGCGTTATGTTAATGTTTTTACTATTAAAAACAGTGCCATGCTGGATTAATTGTAATTAATCACTGTCATTAACATTTAAAATTACTTATACTGTTCCCATAGACTAAGTATGTTCTCTGGGAGAGTTTAATGAGAGTCCAGGAGAGCCTATTTTTGTGTAATTTATACTCTATTCAAGTGTTACTCACATATAGTGTACCTGAATATAAGGAGTGGAGTTTTTTAATAAAAACTAAATTAGACATAATATAACAACAGGGCACATTATGACTATAATAAATGTAATCATTATAATGAATAACAGTATACAAAATATTAAGGTAACGCAAAAACCACGTCACGTTATAAAGAGCTAGAGAACATTCTTACCATAGACTAACACATGTTTTAACAGTGTAAACATGTTGGCCATACATTCTGGGTAAAAATGTATTGTGATTTAATAGTAAAAACATTAATTAAACGATTAGTAAAAAATATATAATAACACAATAAATATGTTTTAATCCAATCATACATAATATTCAAATAAATAAAATGTCCGACATATCAGTGCCCACAATAGGGTATTATAAAACGCGGGGTTTGGCTCAACCCATACGGTTATTGTTGGCCTATAAGAGCGTAAAATTTATAGACAAATATTACGGCAAATCTGGCGACAAAAATCTAGATGATAATCCAGCCGATTGGTTGGCTGAAAAAACTATCCTGGGTCTAGAATTCCCCGATCTACCTTACTATATAGTTGGCCCGTTAAAACTGACCCAGAGCACTGCTATCATGCGATACTTGGCCCGAAAACACGGCCTGTTGGCCACCGACGAGACCGGACTCGTACGCCAGGATCTGTTGGAGCAACAGTTGTTGGACATCCGGATGGGTATTATAGTTAACAATGGAGTAGACCATGGGTTTGATATCGTAATAGCCGGACATATAGTCGCCGGACGTTCCCCGCAATTGGACCGATTGTCCCGGTTTTTGTGCGCCCGGCGTTTACCGGTAATTGTATGAATTATGTGGACTTTTTGGCGTATGAAGTGTTGGATTGGTTGCGACTTTACAGCACCGGTGCTGTCGATGAGTACCAGAATTTGTGCCAATTTATTACCCGTTTTGAGAGTTTGCCGCCAATTAAGACGTATATGAAATCATCGGAGTTTATAAGTTGGCCGGTGTTTCCACCCAAAGCTCCCTGGTTGCAGTGATGGTTAATTTTAGTTTTACATTTTACATTAATTTAGTAAAATGTTATACAATTACATATATTTTGATTATATTTTGTAATAAAGCATTAGTTATAAACTGTATTAATTAATAATATCTGGTTATTCTAATAACAATTATTTCAATCTATATGTATTTGGGATATTGATGTGACGATATTATTTTAAGTTGTTTAACAATATTTTTGTCAATTTTAAATTTAACATGTGCAATAATTTGTATAGAAATTACGTAGACAAATATTATGTTAAATCTAGAAAATAAATTAACACAAAGTTTAAAAAATATTAAACATTTAATCAGCAAATTTTTCTTGAATTCTTGTAAACACCAAGTACATTTTTAAATAATAAATACAATTAAATATAATATCATTTAAAACAAATAGTATATCTCATCATCTAGATTTACATTTTAGTTTAATCTATATATTGATTATGTAATGTAAAAGCAAATGTTTTTAAATACTTTTGGTCATATTGTTTATTATGAATTAAACTTTTATTGATATAAAATGTACTGGGATATCTATCTTGCTAATAATACAATTTTCAATACATGTAATTTGATCAATGACATTTTGTTCAATTTTAGATTTAAAATACAGCATAAGTTGAATAACAATTGCAAATAAATCAATTAATATAAAATGTACTAATAATATAACTAATTTATAAAGCTCATTGCTAATGAATAGCCAATACAGAATCATACACTGAAAAATCATATAGATCACAAAATTATAAATAACCATATATTTAATTAACCATAATTTTTTACGCCATGAGTTTTGCTTGAATTCTCGCAAACATTTGTTCACTTCATAATAGTATTGAAATTCCGGTGTTTTGACAATTGTTTCAATTCTTGCGGACATTTGTTGTAAAATATTTATATATTTTGTGTTCAACTCGTAATATATTAGACTCAATACAATAGGCCAGCCGTAGGCAAGCGAGTGGGCAATATTGTAATAGATGGTCGTTTTAGTTGTTATATTTAATAATCTAGCCACATTTTGTTTGAAATATATTGTTAACATTGTTTCAAAACTTATATGTAATAAAATAAATAATATATTTAAAATATTATTATATTTAATGTTATATTTTTTGTAGTATTCATCAAATTCTTCATTTAATTCAACGATTAATTTTGAATTAAACTTTATATACAAATATGACAATAAAAATGAGATTGATATTAAACAAGTAAATAAATTAAACATGGCGTTAATGTTATAATTTATATTGAAGTTTAATCTAGATACAAAATACGTAAATAACGTGATGTAAACTGTGATGAACAAACATGTGACAAAATGTTTAATAAAATTATATTTACAGTGAATTCCGTACAAAATTAATATACATGAAAATATTTCGCACATTGTTTTGAATTATTAAGGTAACAATTTCAATATAAGTATAATTTACTTTTAATGATGTGGTTTCTTTAATATTATTATTATATTTGCTGCACAAACAACAAGCTCATTATTATTTTTTTACTTTTAAATGTCAAATAATTTTGAGTTAATAACAATTCCCAGAAAAATAGGTTTAATATAAAGTGCAATATATCATTATTGCACATGCTTAAATAAATGTTAGTGTTTAAAAATAATTTTATTTTTACCTTAAAATTGATATTAAAAAACGGAATGAGAGACAGAGT